AACATTGAAAACATTATGCTCAGTGAAAAAAGCCAGACACAAAAAAACATATATTGTATGATTGTACCACATGAAATGCCCAGAATAGGCAGGTATATTGAGCCAGAAATAGATTAGTGGTTGGCAGGAACTGGGAAAATGGGAAGTGATTGCTAATAGGTGTAGGGTTTCTTCTAAGGGCAATGAGAATGTTGTGTAATTGGATGGTGGTGATGGTTGTACAACTTTGTGAATATATAAACTCTACTGAATTTTACACTTTGAAAGAGTGCTCATAATCCCACCATCCAGTCAGAATGATCTACTGGAAACCCAGTGTTGATCAGGCCACTCCCCTTGAAAGCTTCCCATGATGGTTGAGGAAATGTACAAATTCCCAACAATGTTTACCAGTATGTCCCGGTTCACCTACTGCCCCCAGCCTCCCTCTAGCCTCCCTCCTCTCTTTGCTTTTGCCTTGGTGACCTCTTCTTGCCCATTAATACCCCATGTTCTCTCCCACCTGAAGTTCCTCCTGGGCATGGAACATTCCCGTGCCCTGGCCTATCTAATCAATCTGATTTTGACTTAATGGTGACTTCCTTAGGGAAAGCTCCTTGCCTGACTCTAACAATATATCCCTTTGCTGTGTGACCTATGTAACATCCCAATTTCCCTTTGATGAAACTCATCATCAGATATCTGTTTCCGTGATAAACTGTATACCCAGGGGGCAGGGACCTGTACCTACCTGCCTTACCGCTATCCTCCCACAAATAACAGATCCCACCATCCACTGTGCCCCCTAGTTGACAAATTCCTATCCACCCTTCAAATCTCACTCATGCCCTGGCCTGTGTAGCTCAGTTGGTTGGAGCGACATCCCCTGCACCAAGGGTTGCAGGTTTGATTCCCAGTCAGGGCATGTATGGCAGCCGATCAATGTTTCTCTCCACATCAATGTTTTTTTTTCTCTCTCTCTCCTTTCCTCTCTCTCTCTCAGATCACTGAAAGCATAGCCTCAGTGGCTTTCAGGGGGACAGTCTTCTCTGAGCCCCCAGATATGGGGGCACATTCCTTTATGTAGCCTCACAACTTGCCGGACATCTCTTGTAGCTCGAAGCACACTGTACACGCCACTGACTTTACTATGTCTCCCCTCCATAAACCTTCTATTTTGCTTGTTTCTCTTTGCCCCAGCACCTAAAACAATGCTCATCACAAGACTCCTCTCAGGGCAGACCACAAGAATTCTTATGAAAATCCCTAAAATGGCATGCAAAATTCCATGTGCATGTACATTTTTCTAAAAAAAAACAGTCTGTGGCTTTTGTTAGGGTTTCAAAAGTGTCTAAGACCAAAAGGAAGTTAAGAACTTCTCCGCAAAGCTGAGGGAGTTTGTCTTTCCTTCAAAACAGCACTGCCAGCACAGACTTCTATGTGAACCATCCCCATCAGAATAGGAGTTCCTAGAGGGCAAGGATCTTTATGTTGTGTTGATTAATGTTTCCCAAATGCCTGGAATGGTGCCTGGCCCATCTTCGGTATAGGTGTGGAATGACCATAGTCTCAGATAATTGTAACAGCTGTGAGAACTGTACATGGATTGGATAGTTACTGCTGCATAGAAAATTACCCCAAAATGTAATTGCTTAACATATATTATCTTAGTTTCTCCACACAAGATGGCCATTACAATCTTAGCCTGAGAAGTGGCATCCCATCACCTTTGCTGTGTTATTAGAAGCAAGTCTCTAGGTCTCGGGCACACCCAGGGGGATGAAATAGCAGCAGGCAGGATATTGAGAGCCATCTTAGAGACTGCCTACAACACATTTCCTCATATAGCATCCAGCTCATCTGAGCCCCAGAGCAGAAGGCGCAGACCAAATGCCTTCAGGTCAGGCAGACGATGACAAGGAAGAAGAGAGCGGAGGGAGGTTTGGTGGACAGCTGAGCCTCTGCCCACCTCTGCCCAGACACAGCTACCAAGCAGCAATGTGGGCTGACTTATCAGATCTTCTAAGTTTTCAAAAGAAACCAGAGACCAGATTTTTGTGAGACATTTCCTGATTTTTAAAGCTGTGATAATCTAGCAAGAACACATCTATGGATGCTTTTGCCTCTTCTCTATGGCTCAAAGGGCCTAAGCCGTTCTAATATCCTTTGCATGTCTGTTCCATCTCCTGCACCCACCTACCCCTCACCCCCTGCACTCCTTCACTGGGGCAGGGGCCTAGCTAGCTCACTTTGGGCACTTTATGTACTTCTTTGTATGTTACGGGCCAACAATAAATATTGTTGAATGAAATGTGAAATTGCTGTCTCAGTGGGAAGCACCTCCCGACCCCCAATCCCAGAGGACTGGTTAGAAGTAGGTGCTGCTCGCCCTAACCGGTTTGGTTCAGTGGATAGAGCGTCAGCCTGCGGACTGTAGGGTCCCAGGTTCGATTCCGGTCAAGGGCATGTACCTTGGTTGCAGGCACATCCCCAGTGGGGGGCGTGCAGGAGGCAGCTAATTAATGTTTCTCTCTCACCGAAGTTCTGACTCTCTGTCCCTCTCCTTTTTTCTCTGTAAAAAAACAATAAAAAAAATAAAAAATAAAAAAAAAGAAGTAGGTGCTGCTGTCTGAGTAAGTTGAAATCCTGGCTCTGGTACTCGCTTGCTGTGTGACTTTCAGCAAGTTATTAACTTTCCAGAGCCCTGGCTTCTTCATCTATAAAATGAGAATAGTGGTACCCGCTTCACAGTTACTTATAAGGATTAACTGTAATAAACATACTTATTAGCACACTATAGCAACTCAATAGCTGTTCTTACTCCCACCGCCCCCCTTCTTTCCTCCCTGGCTCCCTGGCCCAGCTCCCCTTAATCCAGCGGTTCTCAACTTGTGGGTCACGACCCCTTTAGCAGTCGAACAACCCTTTCACAGGGGTCACCTAAGACCATCCTGCATATCAGATATTTACATTACGATTCATAACAGTAGCAACATTACAGTTATGAAGTAGCAACGGAAATAATTTTATGGTTGGGTCACAACATGAGGAACTGTATTTAAAGGGCCAGAAGGTTGAGAACCACTGCCTTAATCCATTAAACCATCATCTACCACTATCCACCCTGGCGGCTAGAGGGAGCCTCTAAAATGAGAGATCTGTCATGTTCCCAGGCAGAGTTAGCATCCTTCAACAGTTTGCTGATCCCCTTAATAGGAGAAAATCCGAACTCAAACAGCTCACCAAGCTCTTCTGGACCTGTGTCTGCCCAGCCTTCAAGTCTCATCTCTCACCACAGCTCCCTGCACACTCGACACTCCAGGCACACCCAGGCTTGTTTCCTGAAACCTCCATACTTTCTGCCACTTCAAAGCAAGTGTTCTTCTCCCCACAACTACTGCCACTTCAAAGCAAGTGCTCTTCTAGATGTCCCAGCTATGTGCTCAGAGAATCTGTGGCATTCCTTGCTAAACCGGAAGGCAGGTGCAATATCAATTTTCTTCACTCTCCACTCTTCCTAGCACAACGCCTGCATAGAATAGGCAAATAATGCATAATTGTAGAATTGTTCACAGCAGTGCCCATCCCGTGAGCTGACAGCGCCACCTGTTGACCCAATGTTGCATTTCAGCACTTAGAAAGGAGCCTTAGCTCTCTGTCCACCACTAGCACAGATGAACAATGGTTTTGAAGTTTTCCAGGGGTCTATCCAGTGTCCCCTCACACAAAACTTAGCAATTAAAAAAAAAAGAGCTAACATTATTGAGGCACTCTCCTAAATGCTTTAGTTACTAACACAATTTTTACAACCACTCAATGAGTTTTACTTTCATTGCCATTTTGTGGACGGGGTAACAGGCACAGGGCAGTCAAATGCCTCACCCCATCACGCTGCTAGGAAATGTCACCCAGACGGTCTAGCCTGAACCTGCACCTTTAAGCCCGAAACTCACTGCTTCTATTGTTTCCTTCACTTATGCCCAGTGACCTCCCAGACACTTCCGCCTGCAGGGAAGGCCCATTGTAAAGGTACTATTACAGAGGCATTGGTGCCAACCGAAAATTCATGTAGAGTGAGTGTCCCACACATTCTGAAAGCTGCACAACTCTCCAAGGGCACCCCTCAGGAAGGAATTAGATGTGGTGGCAGCCTCTCCTGTGAGACAGCAGACACAGCAGCCGGCCCCGGCCTCCATGTTACTGCTCTACTCGAGACTCCAGCAAGCACCGCTCCCCTGTGCCTCCAGCTCCTCAGAGGACTCTTGGGCCCAGCTGGGTGGATCAGACTGGGTGGATAGTATCTGAAGAGTGAGGAGCGCAGTCCCTGATTCAGGTGGACGCTGAAAGGCAGTGATCACTCAGTCCCCTGCCTGGATCACTCCCATCACACACCAAGTTGGGTTCCCTCACATGCTCGATATCACTGTGTAGAACCAAAAGACTGCGTCCTTCTTAAACACAACTATTTTTCACTGGCTCCTCTAAGTATTTTTCTATATAATCTGGGAAAATGCCTGCCTCCACTTAATTTTGTTATTAAAATATATTTGTACTATCAATAATTACTTATTTTATAATTACTCATTACTTTATATATATTTAATATAAATATAAATGAATCCTTTACAAGTTATATCATCTATAATATAAACATTAAATATATTTATACATATTTAACAGTATATAGCATGTTATCTAAATGTGTATATTTAAATATACAATATATCTACATAGCCATATATATGGCTAAAATTTATTTCTTCCTATGTCCCAGTATTATTCTAAATACTTCACACATATTAACTCATTTTATCTTTACAACAGCCCTCTGATTATCCCCATTTTACAGTGAGGAAGCTAACGCACAGTGAAATGACATGTTCAGGGTCACACATCAAGTGGCTCACCTGGAGTGCAAACCTAAGTCATTAGACCAGTCTATACTTGTAAACACCGTGAGACTCCCTCTGCTGGTAGAGGTTGTGCCGGTCTGCTGCTTTTACTCTGATGTGCCAGGCATCTTGATGCTAAGAGCATTTTTTATTTGCACACAGTAGGTGTCAACAAAATCTTTTAATATACACACACACATACACACACCCGCACAGTCACACTCCAGTGTGACAAATACCCATTCTTCACCTCGGGGAGAGCCAGGCTTCAGGCTCCCGGAGACTCTCTAGAGACAGCCTAGGCCTGACAGTCCTCACAGATGAACCCCACAGGGGCACTTTAATTAGACAAGTGGGAAGGGACAGGGTGCACCTCGGGGTGGATCCTGTGGGGCCTCATGCAGGCCCAGAGCTCTGCTGCATCCTCTTCATCAGCTCTTCATCCTGCATAGACAACTCCGTCAGCTTTTTGCCCATCCGCTCATGGATGTCCAGGTACTTGGAGACACACCGGTCCAAGCATACAGACTCGCCCTTGGACAGTTCTGCTTCCTTGTAGTGGGGAGGCACGCACTTTCGGTGGCAGGCACTTGTCATTCTGGGGGGAAGGGAGGGCAAGGTCAGGTCAGCAGCACCTTGTGGCATACCAGGAGCTCTCAACCATTCCTGACGTGCTTACCTGATTCACCTCTGAGGCAGGCAGTATAAATCCTCAGTTTACACCTCAACTATTATGGAAGGTCCTTGAGAATAGGAACCTTACCTGAGCCCATGTTTATAACTAATTAAATAGAAATCATTAGTTGAGTACTGGCTATGTTCCAGGCATCATGCTAAGTGCTTGACATGATTTTTATGGTAACCCTATAGTTACACATGATAAATATCCCCATTTTACAGATGAATAGGTACAGAGAGCCTCAGGACCACATACAGCTGAGATATTAACCCAGGTAGTCTAACTTCACAGCCTACATTTAAAAATTGTTCTAACATATATCCTCCAACACAAACCAACCAATAAGCAGAGGATACCAGAGAGCTCAAGCTAATAAAAATAGCAGACATATGTTGACTGCTTACTATCTACTGGCTTGATGCTAAGAGCTTGTCATACATTTTAACATTTAATACATTTTTCAAAGATTTGTTTTTATTAATTTTTGGAGGGCAAGGGAGAGCGAAACATCAATCAACTGCCTGACTCCTAAAAGTCCCCTACTGCAGGTGGAGCCCATAAGCTGGGCACGTACCCTGACCGGGAATCGAACTGGCAACTTTTCAGTGCATGGGATGATGCCCAAGCAACTGAGCCACACTAACCAGGAAAACATTTAATATTTATAATGTCTCTATGAAGTAGGTAGTAGTATTGCCTCCATTTGATAGACAGAGAAACCACTGGTCAAATAGTCCAAGTAATTTGTCCAAGCCCACACTAGTGGTAATTGATGGAGCTATGAATTGTTCCCAAATTTGCAAAAGTACTGGACCTCACATTGCTACTGAGGTCCAGCTGTGGACCCTGAGAAAGTTATTTAAACTCTAGTGGCTTCCCTGTTCTCACAGTAAAATTAACCCAGTGGATTATTTTTTGTTTATTTATTGATTTTAGAGAGGAAGGGAGACATGCATATAGAGAAACATCAATTTATTATTCCACCTATTTATGCATTCATTGGTTGATTCTTGCATGTTCCCTGACCAGGGATCAAACTCACCTGCAACCTTCGAGTATCAGGACGGCCCACTTAACCAACTGAGCTACCTGGCCAGGGCCACCCAGTGGATTATTTTGAAGATTAAAAAAGATAATGCATGTAAAATGTTTAGCAACTGCCTGAGGTAGAGTAAGAGTTTAAGCAATGTTAAGTAAGTGGGATATGTTCTATTTTTCAAAAGGCAAATACTTTCAACTGTTCTTGGAACCTAACCAGAGACTGAACTGGACCTTCTCTCCTACTTAGCTCCTCCATGGCCAATCCATCCCAGTCTAAATGCCCAACTCCTTCTAGTGACCCTATGCTGAGTCTGCATTGGCCTTTAACCATGGGGGGTGGGAGTGGGGCAGAGTCGGTGCAGGTGGGTGCCCCCCTAAATTGAGCAAAGCATTTTTCATAAGTCATCCACCTCTACACTCAGCAAGAGCAACCTAGGATCCTTCCCTAAGACAGAGTCGGCTCTTACCTGTTGTACATATCAGCCATCATTTCTACCTCCAGCTCCGCCGCCAGCTGCTGGGCCCTGAGCGGATCCATCTCAGCCCTGCACGGTGATCTCCTTCCTACCTCCTAGTCCTGGGAAAAGACATCACCGTCAGCACCCACCTCCCGTTCACTTTCCCATCCCAGGAGTTAAAGGTGCAGAGTCATCATAGGGCATCAGACCGGCAGGGGCCACTGACCTGAGTTCAACCATCCCATTTCACAGATGTGGAAACTGAGGCCCGGGAGGGGAACACTGCCTAGCCCAAGGTCACACAGCACGTCACTAGCGGTGCTGGACATCGAGTCCCCGGGTCTGACGCTCAGGGTTTCTAAGTCACCTCTCCCCAGGAGACCGAGAGACCGGGAGGGAACTCTCTAAACCGCAGGCCTGACATTCTGCGGCCCTAGGAATTGGATCCTACGTGCCCGGCGGAACAACGTGCACGGGCCCGGCTCCGGCGCAGGGGCTGCACCTCTGAAGTGGCGGCGACACCACCAGTGTCACCCTTAGGTCAGACGTCACTCACAACAGCCTGGAGCCGGTCACAAAGCCTCCGGTGTCCCCAACTTCGGGCAAACACTAGAAACTTACCAAGAACCCAGGTGGGCAAAGGTGGAAACACGTGGGCCACTTCCGGGAGGAAGTCCCGCCCCCTTTCAGATCCGGACTTGCTCTTGGAATTAAGTACCAACGAGGCGGCGCTAGGAAACCGGCTCCGGCTGAAGGCGAAGGCGGCTTGCAAGTGCTAGAGAGGACACCCAAATACCATAGAGGCTTGGGCGGAGTGCAGAGCGCCGGCAGCCCGGAGGTCAAGTCCCTGGCGTTGTCAGGAAGAGGCTTAGGTTTATTGGTTCTCTAGGAAGGGGCGGGACTACGGCGCTCAGGGAACTTCGTCTCCGGTCCTCCGAGAGCCTACACCCGAGCACAAATCAGGCGCGTCGGGGGGAAGGACGCCCCGAACAACGGCTCTCAGTTGGTGCTGCACGTTAAGGTCACCTGGGACGCTTTAAAAAATCCTGATGCCCAAGGCGCCTCTCATACCAATTATAGCAGAGACCCTGGGAGTAGAGCCCAGATGCTATCAGTAAACTTTTAAATTCCCAGGTGAGTTAGATGTGCATTAATGTGCATTAGATGACGAGAAGAAATTGCTATCATTTTGAGGACGTAAAATGGCATTGTAGAAAAAAAGACATTGATAAAAGTCGATGAGGAAAGTATGGCTTGACGTGAATAATTGTTAAATCCAGGTGATAGGTATTTGCAAGTTCAATATACCGTGCTCTCCACTTTCCTGTATGTTTTAAATTGGCCATAATAAAGTCTAAAACTTAAAAAACAAAAATACACCAATGTGTTTTTTTTTATGAGCATCTGCCATGGACTAGGTGCTTTAATTACATTATTTTGTTTATTTTTCTTTTTGTAATGATTTTTTTTAAAGTTGACTTTGAAATGATTATGGATTTGCAGGAAGTTTCATAAATTGTACATTAATTCCTTTGTGCAACCAAGTTTGGGAACGGGTGCTTCAAGAAACTTTGTGTGGCCCTGACCGGTTTGGCTCAGTGGATACTTGGGAACGGGTGCTTCAAGAAACTTTGTGTGAATACAGCTGCGTGGCTACAGGTCACTAACCTTTCTCTGGGATTACAAAGATAAGGGAGACATAGTTCCTGCTTGCAGAAAGACAAGACATATACTAGTATACTTCTGTTTTATTCAACTTCTGTTAGACTCACTGGGCAATAAAGAGGTGAATAGGAGCTATTTTGACTGCCACTAGAGTTAACCTAGTGTGTTTAGTAGTGGGAGAAGGAGAGTGAACTCTATCTTTCAAGACTTAATTGTTTGCTCACCCCACCCCTAACAACAACAACAAAACCCCAAACACCTCAATTCCTTGATTTTTCAAGGGATTTACCAGTAAATGAAATTTAGGAGATACGAGTTAATAATGCAAGGGTACACTTCCCATTGGAGACGGGGGGCTGAACATTTTGTATGGTTGGTCACGAAATGCTTAATTGTCCAAGAAAGCCCAGATTTTCAACACTATGCCTTACTACTGCTCTAAGGACACATCTTTATCAAACCCTGTGCCCTGACATTTTAAAATACATTTTTATTGATTTCAGAGAGGAAGTGAGAGGGAGAGAGAGAAACATCAATGATGAGAAAGAATCATGGATGGCCTGCCTCTTGCACGCCCCCTACTGGGGATCAAGCATGCAACTCCTGGCATGTGCCCTTGACTTGAATTGAACCTGGGACCCTTCAGTCCGCAGGCCGATGCTCTATCCACTGAGCAAAACCAGCTAGGGTGCTCTGATGTTTTAAAGTTGAGGTGTAACATTGGTACAGTAAAGTGTGTAAAATACACGAATCTTTTTTTTAATATATTTTATTGATTTTTTACAGAGGGGAAGGGAGAGGGATAGAGAGTTAGAAACATCGATGAGAGAGAAACACCGATCAGCTGCCACCTGCACACTCCCTACTGGAGATGCGCCCACAACCCAGGCACATGCCCTTGACCGGAATCGAACCTGGGACCTTCCAGTCCACAGGCCAACGCTCTATCCACTGAGCCAAACCGGTTTCGGCAAATACACAAATCTTAAGCTTAATTTTAAAATATACATTCTCCTATAACTACCACTCAGATCAAGATACATAATATTTCCAGCAACCTAAAAAATTATCTCAGGTTCCTTCCCAGTCAATACCTCCTCTCCTGCAGTTAATCACTATTCTGATTTCTATCACTAGCAGTTTTGCCTATTATTGAACTAAATGTAAATGGAATTATGCATTATTTCTGTTTTTAGCTCAATGTAGTGTCTATAAGATTACATCCATATTGTTGTGTGTATGTCATTCATTCTTTTTATTACTATCTAGCATTTGATTGTATGAATAAGCCACAATTCATTTATTCATCCATTCATTGATGGACTTTGAGGTGGTTTCCAGTTTGGGGCTATTATGACTAATGCCGCCATGAATATTATTGTCCATATGCTTTAGTAGACATATGTTGCCCTAGTTTTTGCTTTTTGAAATATAGTCAACATATTATGGAATATTAAGAAATTGTATGAGAAAAGGAGATGGGTTTTTATAAGAGAAATCTATTTTTTAGATGGGGTTTTTATTAGGGAATGAAAGGTTAAATACTGTATGATTCCCTTTATTTTTGTAATATATTTTTATTAATTTCAGAGAGGAAGAGAGAAGGAGAGGAAGGAAGAGAGAGAGAGACAGACAGACAGACAGACATCAGTGATGAGAGAGAATCATTGATTGGCTGCCTCCTCATACCCCACACTGGGGATTGAGCTTGCAACTTGGAATTGAACCAGTGATGTCCTGGTTCATAGGTCAACCACTGAGCACGCCAGCCGGGCTGTATGATTCCCTTTAAATAGCATTCTCAAAACAACAAAATTATAGAAATGGAGAAGAGATTGATGGTTGCCCGGGGTTAGCGTTGCGGGGGAGAGAGGGGGTGGCGGGAGGTGTGCCTATAAAGGACAAAGGGGATCTTTGTGGTGATGGACAGGTTCTGTGTCCCATTTGTGGAGGTGGTTATACAAATCTACAGATATGGTAGGGTGTCGTAGAACTATGCACACCATTGTGCCAATGTCAGTTTCCTGGCTTTGATATTGCATATAGTTATGCAAGATTTAACTTTAGTGGAAGCTAGGTGAAGAGTACACAAGGGTACTATTTATGCAACTTCCTGTAAACCTATAACTATTTCAAAATAAAAAGGTTTTCAAAATCATTACAAAAAGAAAGCAAACAAAAAAGATAATGTCATTAAAGCACCTAGTTCATGACAGATGCTCAATAAAAATAAATCATTATATTTTTTTAAATTTTTAGATTTTTATTAAGGCAAATCTAAAACATACAGAAATAGAGGGGGTAAATGGTGATGGAAAAAAAATGAAATAAAATAACAACAAATAAATATTTAATTTAAAAATAAAACATACAGAAAATTGGAGAGCACAGTATATTGAACTTCCATATACCCATCACCGGGATTTAACAATTATTAACTTTTTTTTTAATATATTTTATTGAGTTTTTACAGAGAGGAAAGGAGAGAGATATAGAGTTAGAAACATCGACGAGAGAGAAACATCGACCAGCTGCCTCCTGCACACTCCCCACTGGGGATGTGCCCACAACCAAGGTACACGCCCTTGACCGGAATTGAACCCGGGACCTCCCAGTCCGCAGGCCGACGCTCTATCCACTGAGCCAAACCAGTTTCGGCACAATTATTAACTTTTAATCACATTTTCTTAATCTATTTTTATCTGTAACAAATAACGTCTGTTTTCCACAGGGCCCTTAAAACTATAGTAGTTTCTTAATGTCATCTAATGCATATATTCAATCTCCCCCAATTTTTCAAGAATGGCTTTTTACAGTGGCAAAAACATGAGATCTACTCTCTTAACAAATTTTCAAGTGCAAAAAACAGTATTGTTAACTATATGCTCAACGTTGAACAGATCTTATGTAGATCTTATTCATCTTGAATAGCCGAAACTTTATACCGTCGAACAGCAACTCCACATTTTCCCCTTGTTCTAATACCTGGGAAATCATTGTTCTTATTGATGATTATGTTATTGTTACTATCTACTATGACACTGTGTCTTTTCCTTGCTAGACTCACTAGTATACAGTTGGAAATTTGAAGACCTATAAGTAGGAATCTCAAATTGTCCCTGTTAAGTTTTGTCTTGTAAAAGACAGTTTCTATAGCCCCAGGCTTTCAGTTCAGATACCTCATCCAAAACTGCTGACCTCTGTCTGCATGCTGAAGCTCTAGCCCCTCACTCTATCCTGGGGTATTACCCCTTCCCAGCCTCCCAAAGGGGAGTTGGGTATTTGTTATTCGCCATGATCAGTAGCGTCCTCTTGGATGGGACCTCAGCCTTGAGGAAGGGATTCAAGGTTGTCACCCAGGATCTCCCCACATGGGCCCTGACCACTCATGAGAGGTGTGGAGAGTACAAAGACAGCCTGGTTGAACTCCCCTGAAATGAACAGAAGACAAGAGCTTGAACGGACTGGTCATTCGATGAGCTTGAAGAGCAAGACAGCGCAGTCTTAGTCCCTGTTACCCACTGGCACCATTCCTCACCACCCCGCACCTCCACTGCTGACAATCTGGTCCACATCACCAACCACCATCTTGCATTACTGTAGCAGTCTCCTCGCTGGTTTGCCCACTTGGTTCACGCTTCCCCTTCAGGCTATTCTCAAAACAGCAGCCAGAGGGATCTTGTCAAAAACTAAAGTTAAATCGTGTCACTTCACAACCTAAGATACTCCAATGGCTTCCAATCTACACTAATAAAAGAGAAACATGCAAATTGGTGTCACTCCGCTATGCCCACCAGCCAATCAGGATGAGTATGCAAATTAACCCAACAAAGATGGTGGTTAATTTGCAAATGTGGGCACAGAGCAAGGACTGAAGACTGAAGAGGCTTGGCTTCTCTGCTGCAGCTGGAGTGGAGAAGCCAAGCCTCGCTGTGGCCGGAGCAGA